CTTTGTTGAAACAGCCAAATAATTCTGAGAATCCTACAAGAGAAGATTATGTTTCTAGTAAATCTTGGTATTTATTTGCATCATCATCATCATCATCATCATTATTATTATTATTATTATTATTATTATTATTATTATTATTATTATTATTATTTCCTTTGATTTCTAGAGTTTACACATTTCTTTCCGGGTCCCGCCCAGAGACCTAAGGTTAGAAATGGCATCATGACACTTTACACTGACAAAAAAAAAAAAAATTTACATAGATAAAGCCCTTCGTAAAGTGTGGGCTGTACTTGTCAGAACAATTTTTTTGTATCTCCTTGAGGCATGGACTTCCAGGAATCCCTTCAATTAGTCTACTGCAATTTTTTCCAACCAATCCTAGGGCTCCAACTACAACAGGGATTGTTGATGTTCCAATGTGCCACATTTTTGAGATTTCTATTTCAAGGTCCTTGTATTTTGACAGCTTTTTGAATATCTTCAAAGATACATTGCAGTCAGCAGGGACTGCCATATCAATAAAGATGCACTTTTTTTTTGTTTGTGGTCTTTAATAACAATGTCTGGGCGGTTGGCTTTGATTGTTCTGTCAGTGTGTATTGTGTAATCCCATAGAATTGTAACAGGTCCTATCTCCGTAACCGGGTCTGGGTGGTGTTCATACCAATTTCTTTCAGTTTCCTTATTATTATTATTATTATTATTATTATTATTATTATTATTATCTTTGATTTCTGTTCTATAGACATTTCCTTCCGGGCCCCAACCAGAGACCTATAGATCAGACATGGCTTCATGACATTTTCCACTGATCATTTTTATGAAAAAAAAAAAAATAAATAAATAAATAAAATAAAAAACTAAACAAAGATCACACACATTTTACATAGATAAAGCTGTGGCGGATTTCACGACATTAATTTAACTTTAGATTAGGAAACAGGACTGATGCAGAAAAGGATAAGCCAAAGCCATTGTTACACATAAAATATGTATTTAACAAGATGTACAATATCAAACAACGATGTGAAAAAGAAAGTATGCATTAATAAATATGGCGACAAAGATGAGGACAATAGTCCGAATAATGTAAATAATGTCCATAATACCTCATCTCAGAAATACAGACAGATATTAAAACCCCTTATCTAAGAAATATTGGATGCACTGCTCTAATAAATTGAATCGTTTAATCACCCTATATTAATTATTAAATCCGGCGGGCCCAAATATTTGGCCAATAGTGTTATATCATTGGCTTGCATTGGTAGAATGTAGTCATTTGCATAGTTTCTGGGTGATCACCTTCTCCCCCATTCAGTTATGCGAATTATTGTACTTGTAATGTATGTTTCACCCCAGATCATACCAGAATAGACTTGACCTGTCAGGCGATCTCCTGTCGACATGTACAACACATCGTTGACATAGGTGTACCTGGGTTGCAAGAATCGTATTACAGGGAGTTATACAATCCTGAGAAGAGGCAGGCAGACACTCATACATCGCAGACGAGAATGTAAGAAACAGTTGTCAGATGAGAGGCCACACACTGGCCGAAATTGACGAAAATGAAGAGTTGAATCAAATGCTAATGTAATGTTAAATGTGAGAAATTAGTCTCGTGTTAGTCCCTGGTCGACACCCCGACGATAATATCGTTACATTTTATGTCTGGGGATGGTGTTAGTATATTCGCTAATTATGCAGCTGACTTTCTGATCTTTATTTCCAAAAAGTTTCAGTCAGTTATGAGCCAAGCGTGATACACACTTTGGCGATCATGTATCTTTCGATACATGACTAACGAGGCAGATTTTTTTTCCGGCAGTAGGTTGCCATTTCTTTCTGTAGTAGACCAGTTGTCATCCAAGACGACAGAACCCGTTATCCATAGCTTGGGGGAGTGGGAAGAAAAAGAGGATTTACACCTTTCCCAAGGGTATTAGCACGTAAGTGAATGCAACCGATTCGACTGGAGTTCGAACTCGGCTCTCTAATTCTTCAATCTGAGCCGCTATCCGTCACTCCACCTTGCCTCCGTGTGGCAAAAAGTATACATTTACTAATTCTGTTTGTCTTTTATTCATCTTGGCTGTTATATACGTTGTTTCTTAGGGCATTGTTTTGTTTTGTTTTCTGCTACTCTTCATGGTGACTCAGAGTTAGGTTTCACGTCGGCTGCCATGTTGATTTATGAGTCAGTACTTTGATTTGCCCCCTGAAGTCTTTCATACGATTGTTTTTCTTCCCAGTTTTTGAATTGACAGTGTTTCGTTTCCTTCTGTACATTTTAGTTTTTTTTTTTTT